AAGAAATCAAATTCTGTACATTTATACTCTCTCCTCATTCTTCTCCCCCCTTCCATTCTTATCTTAAATCAAATTCACCTGTGAAAATCTTGGAAAAGTAATCAAAAACAGTAGGGGCAAAAGATATGTGAAGTGAAAGAGAAGAGGCAACCAAAAAGGCTTAGAAATTTTTGAGATTGAGAAATCATCTAATAGCGCCAAAAATGCACCATAGATCACAACAGGAAGCTGTAACAACGAGCATCCAAGAAAAAAGTTGAAAAGAAAAATTTATTGAACTTGCCAAGGATAGTAGGCGAATAATTAGTTTCAGGAGATATTTCCTAAACTGAGAAAATCCTCCGAAAATGATTTGAAGAGTATTTAAAAACGGCATGGAAAGCTAGTAAATATATGAATGTGATTCTAGTCACTAAAAATCGAAATGACTTTCTTAATTTCTTAGAACTCTAATTGTTTTGAATTATTTCTATTGTTGAAGTCGATCGATCTTGACTCCGCCCATGCCACGCCCCTTTTTGGCCGAGGTTATCGGATCTCTGCTAGTGACTGAAAGATATATTTTATAAGAAACACTCAAATACAAATTTTAATGCAAAATACGCGTGATATACGTATTTTTAATCAATCAATATGACTTTCTTTCTCTAGATATGTGAGGTGGTGCGCAGTTGCATTATTTGAGGCTTCTGCTCGAGTCTTTCGGTTATTATTAGCAGATTTTTTTAAAACTAAAAAATGGCTTACTTTGTAATCGATAAATGCATCAACTCGTCTAAAGAAATAAGTTTGAAACATACGAAATCGACCCATCGGTGTGTCATACTCCGGTAATGCTAATTGAATTGCTCAATGACCCACTTCACCTTGTCGATCTAAATCCAGTTTTAGCAACTTTGAAAGCTTCCATGAGACAGCATTTTCTAGGTATGAGCCGCTATCCCCTCTACGGCGTCAACGATGACGCCGTTTGGGCCCGCGGTGGTCCAATGCCGGAGCCACCACGTGGTGCCTCCGTGCAACCACTACATCCAAGCCTACCTTATTCTACTTATCCAGCTACAACCACTCACACTACGATCGTACATTCGCAACTAAAGCCAGTAGCAGATGCTGATATATACAAGTAAGCGGCTAAACTTATTTTTTGGACACACGATAAACATTCATTTTCAGGGTAGGCATTTATGGATGGCGGAAACGATGCCTCTATATATTTATTCTTCTCTTGACAATAATTATTGTTTTAAACCTAGCCATGACTGCATGGATTATGTCAGTGTTGGATTTCTCCACCGTAAGTTTCATGATTTACCTGCTCTAGATTTACTCAAAACGAAAACTGGTCTTACTGACAATTTCTGTAATTCAAGTGTTCGAATAGAATAAACAATAATAAGGATAATTATGAGCAAAATATGATATCCGCCGGAGATCAGTTTTCGTTTGGCAGTCAAGAAATAGGGCTAACTTGTTTATGATTTGAAACCTTTTTCAGCAGCTGTTCCCCCTAAACACATCTCAGCGAGATACTTTTGTACTAATCTTCCAATAACATAGTGCATTCTAGCAAATGAAAGAAAGACAAAGACTACCTTGGCAAGGCCAGCTTCCTGGCCCTCTGATGAATTGTGCGGAACGAAATTACCTTAATAGTAATTAGGCGAACGGTCAAGTCCAAATATCATTTAGACGAGAACTGGCCCCTAACAGCAGTTACTCCTTCATTGTCATTTCTAGGCTACTTTGCGTCTGACGGCAAAAAGTTGTGCCAAAGGGAACTGAGAAAAATTAGATATCTCCACTTTGCTTCAATTTTCACATTCACCTATTTGGTGAGAAAGATATCATAATTGCTGAGCTTGCCGTTATATAACATGTCAAGATAATAATGAAGACCAGTTTTCGTCCCATGCCTTTCTCTAACAATTACTTTTGTCTGGTGCATAAAGTGATTCAACAATTACAAATTCCATAAATACAATAAATCCTCTCCCGCAGGATGGCATGGGTGCTTTGAAAATCCAAGAAGATGGGATTCGAGTGGAAGGGCGAGCGCAGTTTGACAAACCGGTCACATTTTCACATTTAAGCACTGCTAGAGTAGGTTTAGCGTGTCTTTTTTTCTGTAATTGCATACTCCCATCCTATCATTAAGGACGAAGCTCTAACGATAGACTCATTTCGTGGTATACATATGCAAGCCCGTAACTCCAGCGGGCAAGTTTCTGCTCGAATGTCACTCACAGCCGACGGTAAGACTCAGGCGATTTGCAATCGATTCGAGGTGAGGTTCTGTAATAAATTACATAATTAAAATTAGATAGGAAAGTCGTATTTTAGGTTTTTGATCCCAACAATCGACTGTTATTCTTTGCTGATTCGCAAGAAATTGGACTTAAATTGGAAAATTTGCGAATATTGGGTAAGCTTACCTATCTCGTCCTTGTTTCA